ATTTCTATTATTCACTAAATTAATATATATATATTTTTTATTACTTTACAACTTCTATCTAACCGTTTTAATATTTTAATATTATTTCTAATATTGGAGAATTTTATATATTAAACAGATTTATTGTGTAATTTATATTTATATCTCATCATCATATCTGATTATTTTTATCAAATGATAATAATAGACATTATTAAACGAGTAATTTAACGTGTTATTGCATTTTGTCACAAGATGACAGCAGTTAGATACATGATTAGTAGCGCCACGCTTAGTGAACATTTGAAATTAATTATCAAATATAAAGTGTAGCGTTGTGCGTGGCCGCGAAAGAAAGAACGTATCTAATATCGAACAAACGTTGCATAGCGACATTTATATTTATTTAAGTTCAGATTACGTGTTACTCGAGCATCTCGTATAGAAAAGGTAAGGTTTACGTAATGATATCGAACAATATCTATATATTGAAAACAATTTTGATACTTCAAATGCGCTTGCGTTATGTCTCTCGCGTTTTTAGATATATATCGAAATTTACTGCATTCAGACATTTATAGACCTCGCTTCTATATTACGTAACTTACAAAGCAGTCTGTTGTATTGGTCATAAAAAAATAATATATAAAATTCATATCTCATTAAAACTCTTACGTATAGATATTGCTCGTTTTTATATTTCCATATCACACGCGTCTTTAATGCTAATAATTTGTCGCGTTGTATCAATTGCCAACTTCAAATTATATTTTTCGCTGACTCGTAAATTAACAAATCGTTAGTGATTTTTAGCGTGCGTTATTCAAACATTCTAGGTGAAATTAAATCGATGAGCATAAATAATAATGTCACATCCCTCGCAACGCTTGTTCGAATCGCAGACGGGGTGCGCGAAAGCGCCGACTCGAGACGGTAAAAGTCGGTCTCTGTGATTATCAGATAGTACCGGGGACGGGGAACAATCAAATATCGACAGTGCACGAGGGGGTTGTTTGCGCGGTGGAGTAGCGCGTGACGGACGGGCGCGCGAGCTTACGAACGGTGACGTCACGTGGCGATCGACGGACCAATCCGAGTCGGGCATTCCACTCCTGCCAGCCAGCCGGTTTTCCGGCTGCTAGACCAAGCGGGACGCCATATTGCCCGTGGCCGAGTGGTGGCGGCGGCCGCCTGTGTGTGTTTATATCGTCGTTACGCGGTTTTTCCACACGTTTCGCACGGTCCCACCGCGTCGGATTCTCGCGAGTGACATTTCGAGCGGTGCGCGTGTCCGCGGACATCGTGTATGGAACGGGCCGTCGTTTATCGTGACAACAACAGTGTGCGCGACGTATCGTTGCGCGATTCTTCCGCGGAAGTTCAGGCGCCCGAGTGACAGACCGCGGCGAATAGTCGTGCCTCGTCGTCGTCTTCGTGCCGCTGTTTTCGTTACTGTGTTTTTTCTGTCTCTCTCTCTCTCTCTCTCTCTCTTTCTCACCATCAGTCACCGTATTGGACCGTTCCAGAGTACCGCTAGCTCCGCACCTGGAAGTGTCTCGTTTTTTCGTCGTCGTTCATCCCCTGCGAGGCTCTCTATCAGAAGGATGCCAGTGCGTAAACAAGGTGGTAAGCTCGTACATGTCTTACGAATGTCAATTGGGCCGACAGACGAATCATACGTCTGTCTGTCATTCGAGAGCAAGATCGTGGGAATGTAAGTCGTGCGGAGAGGGGTGGCTGCGGCTTGTATGGGTCACTCGGTCAACTGTCATTCGGTCTGACAGATCGCGTGAATATTCCCCAACACTTCTTCCTTAATCGGAATGCAGTTGCTTCGAATCACGTCGCCTTTGGGAATTTATGAGCTCGGAATGATTGCTCGCGCGATTGTCGCGTTAATACGGTGATCAGGTGTTTCAAGTCTACCGATCGTTTTTTAGCTACTGCGCGTTACTCTCGCGACCTTGAGATCGCGCACCGTGATAATTCGGACGATCGAAAGTGACATTCGAGCTTCTCGATGTCTTGATGATCGCGCAAAACTCGTCGGAGCATTGGCCACGTGTAATGAACTCGCGACCCTTTTTCGGAGCGGAACGAAGGGTTAAAGAGGATAGCTCGGCTCTGCGCGCGCGTTCTCTTAATTTTCTCGTTATCTTTTACACGATAAATTTAAACGATACAGAATTCGCACATACATACATATATCGTAAAATAAAGTGTGTTATAGTGAATATATTATGCGTCGCATATTTGTCGCTTCGATACGCATTACTATGGTGAAATTGCGTGTCCGCGGAAATTGTGCGACATCGAATCATGAACTACGTATCACGTTGCAACCGGAATCGACTAGTGTGTCGTGCATGATTGAAATGAAATTGAACGTAATCTAAATGTTTTAATGTCGCTTTTGTAGAAATGTTATTATAAAAAAATGTATCTTGTGCTCGCATTAAATATATAGTTACGTATAATTTACATGTAATATTTAACAATATAAACACACAATATTTCAGGTTTAATATAAATTATTTTCGTTTTATATATTATAATGTTATATCAAAAATATCTAGATTATAAATTTATTTTGTTACTTGATATATATGTGGATATTTGCTGTTTTTTTAATTCAGAAATTTCGTGAAAAAATAATAGTCTCTGTCATAGACGCAACGGCATTTTAAATTAAATATGATTTATTATAATATTAGACATTTTTTTTTATTTCGAAATTACATAAGTTTCACGGGGGAAAAATTAACCGTGTTGTTCTCTCTCGCACTGTTCGATTCTCGCACGTGGACCATGAGGATGATATCGGAAGCGAGCACTCGTCTTCTCATACGCAATTTTCTTCGATGTAGGCCAGTCTGGTGGTGTGTTGCAATAATCGCGCCGTCGTCGCGGCGTAAGCCAGTGTTTGAACAGGGGCCAAGAAAACGCAATAATTTCGGCTCTAGGCAAGGCTCTTTTACCACGATTATGCGACGAGTAACTCACGGCCATGGGCTCGGTCACCACCAGCGTACCGACGATTTTGCTCTCGAAATTGCACCGCACTCTTGGTCGCCTCTGCTTTTAAGTGACGGAGTATTTCAAGTGAACGTTCTCTGGAGATAACCTTGCTCTATAATAACGAGATATTTCAAATTTCGTCGTCGAGTCATCTCGAAATTTAGAATTTAGAATTTGCTTTATTATACAAACAATGTAAGATAATATTCATTGCATCATTTTACATACATATATATATGTCGTATAAATCTTGCACTAGATGTACGATTTAAATGTGAAATTTGAGTATACGATTATATTTTTGCGCGTTAGATAATTTTAATATTTTTTAAAAATATTGCTAATGCACTGAAATGATAAATATATTTAAAATGTATTTATTTCTCTCTCTCTCGTTTATTTTGTTTTGAAATTAAGTATGAACAATTTTTGCTGATTAAAAACATGGCAATATTCCTTAGATTTTTTTTTTTTAATTTTTGATAAACTTATGAAAGAGTATCGTTGAAGTATATATATATATATATTATTGTGTTTTAATCATTTTCAGCATTGAAAACGGATTATTTTATTTTTATAGAATTTTATATTTAATTTCTCCAAATGTAATTCACTTTAGGCGTTTAATTAGAATTTTGTAGTGATCATATGTATGGGCGTTTGTTTAAAATCACGTTGCGTCGCGTGACGGCGCATAAAGTTCAAGTGTAATTTAAACTTGTCGTTTGATTTAAATTTAACTTCTCCCTTAAATCGCGAGAACGGACGATCGCGAAATCTCGAAAGTTGTCGGAATATATTTAACATTGAATCAATCTTTAATTACGCTATCGTTGACGAATCGATCGTACTACAATGAGAATGGGTTTCTTTAAGTAGATTGCTCGAGAAGTCGGAAGTGAAACTTTAGAATTCTCTTGAAGGCGATTATACTAAAAATAAAAAATTGCTTTTTTAATATTTTAAAATTAGAGTATAAAATTTATACTTTTAATGATATTTTAATATATTTGTTAAATTAGTCGTTGTCATTGTAATTGCCAAAATATAAAAAAAGTATAAATAATTAAAACTTTGGAATATCATGGGTAGCATATATAGTTTATGATGTTATGCGGAATTGTGCGGATCTGAGGTCATATATAATACCAGAATGCCACGTGTTTGTGAGCGTGGTGCAGCAGCGCGTCAAATAGTCTCGCGCGAAAAATCGATATCTCGGGGTTCAAATATCCCAGCTATACTCCTACTTCGCAGCGTCTTTTACAAACGTGTAAATTATATCATTGAAGTTTAAAAATTCCTATAAAAACGCATTTCTCGTACTAGCGATCACA